CTTAGAAAGGATGGAAGGCTGAGTCAACCTTGAGCCTTGGCGAGATTCGAACCTGCGGTGATTGCAGGCAGCTGGTCTTAATAACCAGCTTAATAACAGGGTGCCTTAGACCACTGTACTACCAAGGCTTTTGGTTGGTTTCTGGCCCATTGCTGAAAACAAGCCAAACAAAAAAACACGAACATTCAACTTCGATCTTAAATTCCACTTTAGAAGAAAAAAAGCAAAAGGAAAATATTAAAACTTGAGTGGAAGGAACAGCCTGAATGCCAGTCATTGAGGCAAAGCCTTGACTCATCTGCATACTGGCCCCACCCATAAACGCTCGCCCCTCCTTCAAATTTTAGGAAGAGCTGCTACTCCTATACAGGCAGTCCTCAACTTATAACCGTTCGTTTCGTGACCATTCGAAGTTACAACGGCACTGAAAAAAAAGCGAGTTTGTCAGACCTATTTTGCTGCATCCCCAGGATCAAGTGAACAAATGCTTGGCAACTGGCATGTACTTATGACGGTTGCGTAAGTATCATGTGATCAGCTTCTGACAAGCAGAGTCAACGGGGAAACCAAATTCACTTAACAACCGTGTTACTAACTGAACCACTGCTGTGATTCACTTAACAACGGTGGCAAGAAATGTCGTAAAATCGGGCCACACTGAACCACTGTCTCGCTTAGCGTCAAAAATTCTGATGCTTAATTTGTGGTTGTAAGTTGAGAACCACCTGTATAGATACAAATTGTATTCACCTGCATTCATCCTCCTTAAAAGGTAAAGGTTCCCCTCGCACATACGTGCTAGTCGTTCCTGACTCTAGGGGGCGGTGCTCATCTCCGTTTCAAAGCCGAAGAGCCAGCGCTGTCTGAAGACGTCTCCGTGGTCATGTGGCCAGCATGACTCAACGCCAAAGGCGCACGGAACACTGTTCCCTTCCCACCAAAGGTGGTCCCTATTTTTTCTACTTGCATTTTTTTACCTGCTTTCGAACTGCTAGGTGGGCAGAAGCTGGGACAAGTCACGGGAGCTCACCCCGTTACGCGGCACTAGGGATTCGAACCGCTGAACTGCCGACCTTTCGATCGACAAGCTCAGCGTCTTAGCCACTGAGACACCACGTCCCTCTTTACTAAAGGTTAATACTGTGGGGTCCTTGGTGCTCCCTGAGGTTGGTTGTGAGCAGCCAGAGTTCCATCCCCAGCTACAAATATTTTCTTCTAGAGGTTAATTCAGAAGTTGAGTTAAATCTGTGATCGGCAACGGTTGACCTCCAAGGCCCTTTCCAGCCCTAGGTTGCAACCATCACTTCCTACCTTTGTCTCCGTCCTTCTGGTGGTCCCGTCTTCTGAAGTCACAATAGAAACGTGAGATGTGGGGGTACCGGGATCTTCTTCGACAGTCACAGTCTCCTCTACCTTCTCTTGGGGCTCCTGCATCATTGCTATGGAAGTCTGGTTGCTGGGACTTTGCTCCTGAAGAAGAAAGAAAAGGATAATCTCAAAAATGCTGCCAGAAAAGGAGGAGACCAACCCTACGATTAAAATTTAAGAAGGGTATATAAACACTTGCCCAAGTCAGAACCAAGAACATATAGGTCTGGAGCGTCCAAAATCTCATTTTTGGATCGAACATTTGTAGCGTTTTGGGGCTCCTTTGGCTAAAGACACTCCCTTTCTTCCCCCTTCTGTACATTTTCTTAATGCTGGCCTTTTTTTAAAAAACAACCTAATCTATGCATTTTTCTCCTTGGGTGTCTGGAGTTTTCCATTTAATGCTCACACTTTTGAGGTTAAACTGACCGAGGGGGCCACGCTGTCGTTCTAATGGATGCACTCAATGACTTCAGTAAATGGCCACGTTTCAAAGGCCCCCCATTTACTGCTTATTCACAAGAAATGGGTTTGTCATATTTAAAAGCAATTTCTGTGCTGCCTCCCCTTCTTTAGGTCAAGCCGCTACCTTCATAGATATGACATCCCTAAATAACAAATGCTGGACGGAATACAGGACTCTAAATCAGGGGTGAAATGCTCCCGGTTCAGACCGGATCGCCCGATCCGGTAGCGATGGTGGCGGATGGTTCGGAGAACCGGTAGCAAAAATCCACGCACCCTACCACCACCACCATGCCCAGCTGAGCCGCAAGAAGACGACAAGAAGCTCTCATTCGGGAGTATAGTAAGATCCTGTTAAATTCCTCTCTACCCATTCATGGATACATTCCTGATCTCTTAAGATGCCGATTAAAATCAAGAACTCAGCCTTCCATCCTTTCTAAGGTAGGTAAATTGAGGACCCAGTTTGTGGGGGCAATAAGCTGACTTTGTATAAATATACAAAAGAAAGAAGGCTATTGCTTAGCGCATTGTAAGCCGCCCTGAGTCTCTGGAGATGGGCGGCATATAAATTAAATTAAAAAAAAAAAAAAAAGAAACCCACCACTCTTGACAACGCTTAAGTTGATGGCCGATCGTCAGAACACCACACAAAAGTGGATGGAAGCGTGGAGTAGCTATTCCCCCCAAGGTATCTCTGAGCATATTAATCCTAATAGTATATCTTCAGGATTTAACCTACCCCGACACATATGAGTGACATATAACATATAAATGCTTTTTCTTTCTTTCTTTTTTTTTTTTTAATTTTTAATTTGATTTATATGCCGCCCTTCTCCGGAGACTCAGGGTGGCTTACAATGCATTAAGCAATAGCCTTCATACTTTTGTATATTTATACAAAGTCAGCTTATTGCCCCCACAATCTGGGTCCTCATTTCACCTACCTCAGAAAGGATGGAAGGCTGAGTCAACCTTGAGCCTGGTGAGATTTGAACCTGCAGAAATTGCAGGCAGCTGTGTTAATAACAGGGTGCATTAAACCGCTGTACTACCAAGGCTCTTCTTTAATTGTTTTAATTGTTTTAATCTGTAAAAATGAAGTGTTTCAATACTGTGTGTGACCAGCCATACGCTAAATAAATTCGTTTCCAATTTCCTTTTTTACTTTACTATTATTCCTCTAGTATTCCTGTACATTTTTTTTAATCAATCCATGTATCATCTGGGTATAACATTTGTGCTATCATCTTCAAAGTTTACCGTTATTTCTTAAAATATATTTTTGTTATCTTTCCTTCTTTCGTTTAATTTTAATATACTACCAACCCTAGGATTCTATGGGCTACGTACTTATCCAGGAATGGTATAAGGCAGTGATGGCTAACCATTTTGCCATCGTGTGCCAAAAGCAGGGGGAACCGGGGGGTTTGTGCGCGTGCATACCCACACTCATAATTCAATGTCCCCCCCTGCAAGTGTGTGCGTGGTCCCCCCACGCTCCCACCACTTTTGGCACACAATGGCGGGATGGGCCCGGTAGGCCCATTTTTCGGCCTCCCCAAAGGCTTTCTTGGAGCCTGGGGAGGGCAAAAACGGCTTCCCCACCCCTGCGGAGGCCCTCCAGAGGCCGGAAACGGCCTGTTTCCTGACTTTTGGTGGGCCCAGAAAGCCCATTTTTCCCCCTCCCCAGGCTCCAGAGGCTTTCTAGGTGCCTGGGGAGGCCGAAAATGGCCTCCCCACCCCAGAGGCCCTCTGGAGGCCGGAAACAGCCTGTTTCCTGACTTCTGGTGGGCCCGGAAGGGCCGAAAATCAGGTGGCCAGCGTGTGCTGGTGCTGAGCTAGGGCAACGCCATAAGTTCACCATCACGGGTATAAGGACTCCGGCCATAGGCAGGGAGTTGGACTAGAAGACCTCCAAGGTCCCTTCCAGCCCTAGGACTCTATGGTTTGCATCACTCTTGGACCAGTCTCCATTTGTCATCGTTCTTCTTCACGCTTCACAACCCTTGAGATGGGAGGAAAGGACATCCCTCTTAAATCCCTGCCCTCGCCACATTCCTTCTCCTGAACCACAGCACGGAGGCTGGTTGTATTAGTGCCCTGGCAGGAATTCAGAGACTCCGTTCCAAGGGAGTTGAGTGTTTCAAAGTCAATCTCCAAAGCAATTCAAAGCGCCTCGTTCAACTGATTTGAGAAAAGAGCTGGATACAATTCAGGCATGTGATGGGCATTTGCAATGTGCAAAGGTGCCTCTTTCCAAGGTTTTGAACTGGGCTCATTCCAGTTTTCAAGAGCGATTGATTGATTCCTTCCTTCCTTCCCTTTCTTTCTTTCTCTTCTCCCTCCCTCCTTCCTTCATCTCCCTCCCTCTCATTGTCCTTCCTTCCCTTCTTTCATCCCTTCCCCCCTCCCAGCTTCCTTCCTTCCCTCTCATTGCCCTTCCTTCTTACCTCTCTCCCATCTTCCTTCCTTTTCTTCTTTGTTCCGTCTTTCCTTCCTTTTCTTCCCTCCTATCTTCCTTCCTTCCTTCCCTCCCTCCCCTCATTGTCCTTCCTTCCCTCCCATCTTCCTTCTTTCCTTCCTTATGTCTTTGTCCTTCCTTCTTTCCTCCCTCCCATCTTCCTCCCTTCCTTCCATCCTTATCTCCCTCCTTATTCTTCCTTCTTTCCTCCCTCCCTTCCTTATCTCCCCTATTGCCCTTCCTTCTTTCCCTCCCTTCTTTCCTCTCTCCCATCTTCCTTCCTTTCCTTCCTTGTTCCGTCTTTCCTTCCCTTTCTTCCCTCCCATCTTCCTCCCTTCCCTCCCTCCCTCATTGTCCTTCCTTCCCTCCCATCTTCCTTCCTTATCTCCTTGTCCTTCCTTCTTTCTCCCTCCCATCTTCCTCCCTTCCTTCCGTCCTTATCTCCCTCCTTGTCCTCCCATCTTCCTTCCTTTCCTCCCTCACTCCTTTCCTTAACTCCCTCCCTCTCATTGTCCTTCTTTCCTTCCCTTTTTTCCTCCCTCCCATCTTCCTTCCTTTCCTCCCCCTTCTTCCTTAGCTCCCTCCCTCTTATTGTCCTTCTTTCCTTCCCTTCTTTCCTCCCTCCCATCATCCTTCCTTTCCTCCCTCCCTTCCATCTTTCCTTATCTCCCTTTCTTCCCTCCCATTTTCCTTCCTTCCCTCCCTGCCTCCCATCTTTCTTCCTACCCTCCCTTCTTCCCTCCCTCCCATCTTCCTCCCTTCCTTCCTTCCTTCCTTCCCTCCCTCCCTCCCTTCCATCTTTCCTCCTCCCTTCCTTCCTGGCTGACATTCTCCAGCACTGAGTTTTTTCTAGTAATTTAGAGATGGTTGATTTATCTCATAGGATTCCAACGTTTGCAATAAAAGTTAACTGGGAAAACCAAATTACGTATCCTCCCTCCCTCCCTCTCCTTTATCCCCAAATCCACAGGAGTTATTAATTTCACCACAGCCGAGGCGCTCGCGGCTGATGTTGACATATGACGTTCGTGCAAGCTCACTCTATTTTGATCTGCGTGGGAAGGCCCACCTGGATTGTTGATCTAAATAGAACAACAAGATATATGAAGTTTAAAAATGGGACTCTCTGGAGATTCTTGTTTTGGAGAATTCTCGTAATCGTTAAGAGGGAGATGAATTTGCTTCAAGAAACCTTTTGTTTTGAAGGCACATGTAAACATTTAGAAGCTTTGAAAGTTGTATTCTTTTATAAATACAACCTACTTGGGAGTTTATTTTAATCATGTGACCATGGGGAAATCCTGCACTGGTTGTAAGTGTGAAAATATATAATATTTTTTTATATAAAAAAACTTTTTATATAAAAAAAACTTTTTATATAAAAAAAATTTGCTTTTCCCGCAGGCAGATCAGGAGGCAAAAGTGAGGAGTTTTATCTGTGTTCGAAATATATTTTCAAAGAGTTGCAAAAAAATAAAAAAAAAACCACCTTGAAAAGAGTAAAAAACCAACAATACTTCCTCCCCACTTCCTAGTATTCTTCTCAGGTGTCATCATGTCACAAAGAAAGAATTTATTGCTTGAGGAATTTGAGCCAAGAGGAAATAGATGAAAAGTTCAGGGGTTTGAGATGGAACGCCAGTTGAAAAGACATTACTCCTTCTAAGAATGTTATCGATGGATGATGGATGGATCCAATCATCACATCATCAAGTGCACGTTGACTTTTAGCAGCTCCGTAGGGTTTTCCTCAGGATAATCTGTGCCAACCTGTTTCTTCAGCTCTTCCGCAAGGGTTACCCATTGCTGAGTCCGTCCACTTGGCTGCTGATTGTCCTTCTCTTTCACAGTTATTAATATTAATAGTAATACTCTAATATAAATGCTTCAGGACGAGAAGGACTGGCCCAAGGTTAACCGTGATTTTCATGGTTGGCTAGAGGTTTAAAACTGAATGCCCCCCCCCCAATCGTATATCCTTGCAATTTGACTTTTTACCAAGAGGAAACATTGAGAGGAACAGGTAAGTTCAAAATGAGAGGAAGGAAGGAAGGAAGGAAGGAAGGAAGGAAGGAAGGAAGGAAGGAAGGAAGGAAGGAAGGAAAATATGGAAAATATTGGGAGGGAGGAAAGGAAGGAAAAAAGGAAAATATGGAAAATATTGGGAGGGAGG